TAACCCATGCCAGGTATTCCCTCAACCCGTTGATCGCAACCCGCACTAGTAGTGTACTCGCCCGCCACATACCGCTCGCAAGGTAAATCGGCATTGCCGCCGGGGTCTCGGAACTCGGCCAGCAGGTAAATGGCGAGCCGCGCAAGTGCTCGCTGGCAGGTAGATCGGAAGTCCGCGCCAGAGGCCGGTGGCACGCGCCGGGAGCTGATGGCGCCAGCAGGTAAACGGCAATGCAGGTAGATCGGGAGCCCACGTCCGTAGCCGATGGCGCGCGTAAAGTACCCGCCCGCCGAGTACACACCCATAGGCGAACGGCGACCCGCACAAGTCCCAGCGGGCCGGTAGTTCGGCAGTCCACGCCGATGACTGAGGGCGCGCGTAACGTGCTCGCTCGCCAGGTACTCGCCTGCAGGCAGCCTGCAGCCCACGCAAGTACTCGCCCGCGGGTAAAGCGGGGGCCGTGCAGATGGCGCGCAAAACAGCCGCTCGCCAGGTACTCGTCCGCAGGTAGCGTCCTGACCGAAGGCGCGAGTAAAGTACCCGTCCGCCAGGTAATCGTATTCGCGCAGGTCCTCGGAGCCCCGGTCATGTACTCGTTCGTCGCTTGATCCTTGACGTCGTGAATTCGAAACCGCGCAAACACGCGCAGTCTCGCGTCGTGTCCTCGCCCGCTGAGTACCTCGGCCCCGCCGCGATGACCGGATGCCCGCGCAGGACACCTGCCCACGGCCACATTTACACCCGCGCACGTTGAGTACCACCGCATGAGATAAAACGGCTCCAGCGCGGGTCAACCGGTGGTGCGGAGCAAGCACGGCGACGACAAGCAGCGGCGGATGTGCGTGTGGCGGATGGCGAAATGCGCAACCTGCAAGCTGTTCGCAGTGCTGGACGCAATATGGCCCGGTCGCGTATGGCGGACAGCGGATTGCCGCTCGGCGAGCGGGGTGTTGAAGAGCAGTCGTTTGAGCAAGGTCGCCGGCTGATAGCGCCGGGGGTACGCCGGCGAGGGCCGTCCAATTGTACACACGTAGAGTCCCACGACGGGTAGCTTGACCAGCAGTCCACTGCCAGTACGATGGGCCGGAACACCAGAACATGTCTGAGTCCAGGCGTGCATGGCGCCTGAGGTACAGACGACGGAGACCTTGTCCGAGTGTCTTGTGTGCGTCCATGAACGAAGGATGTTGCCGGTGGCGTAGAAGCACACGTCGCTTCGGAGCGACTCCGTATCGTGGAAGAATGGCGCCCGGCCTCAGACAAGCCGCATCGGCCAGTGTTGCACGTTGCACCCCGACCTGACACTCGTTCGCGAGTATGATGGGATCGCTTCGCCTTTAGGATGCTGTAGATTGAAGAGTCGCTGGGCGAGCGACCCATGCGTGTGCAGTGGAGCGCCACCCAATCGCATATCGTCGTAGTTGACCGATCCATCCCCCCCCAGGCCCAAGTCTTCGACCAGAACCGCAAACGGCGACGCTCAGCGCATCTCGGCTGTCTTCTCGCGCTTCCAAATACTCCCCGGCATTCATCATCCCGCCGATACGTCTCCCGACCGATCTCGACCAAAGGACATGCACTCGCTTGATGCCCATCCGCGGACAAGGCGAGGTTCACTGGTACCCGAGCCGGGGGCCTTCAGTTTTCCCGTCTCTGCTCTCGAGTTCATGGCCGAAGATGAGATCGCCGACGCAGCGTCATTTGCTAGGGCGCTCAGACGCCAGATCCACGGCACGACTGCACAATTTCTGCTTGACGGACGTCAATATGACGCGTATTCCAGTACCGTTATCTGGACAAATCGCTTACCTGTCCATCTATGCGAATCTTTGAAGTCTCTTGAGGGAGCGACTCGAGCGCAAGATGCGGAAAGACAGAGAGCCTAGTTGCAGCAACGCCGATTTCTGCAGACAGAGAGTCAGTGCCGGTCCGCCCGTAACTGAGAGAAGTTATGCTTACCGGCGAGTCCAGACACAGAGGATTCAGAGAAACGACGTGACCAGGTGAGTGGGTTGACGGGCGATCCGTATTGACTGAACAGTATGTGCGTCGTCCAGTACACGGCTCGAAGACAAACTTGCTTGGAACACATCACGAGTGCCAAACAATCCGACCGTAACCGCAGAATCTGCACAGGCCACAACGTAAGGCACTCGCGATGGAGGTTCGACATCGGCGTCTGGTGTCGGATTCCGTCGGCCAAGTCCGGGGCGCAGAATAATCGGCGGCGGGTCGCCACTAATACATAGCATCGCAGAGTATCGAACGTCTCGCAACGTCACGGTGAGCTAGATTACGCAGATCAGATATTAGCATGTGTTGCATCACGGAGGGTACGCAAGACGTACATAGCAGCTCGTATGCCTTCGTGGTTCGTATCAAACGCCCGAGGCTGACAAGAGCATCACGCGGCCGCCTCCTAGTATATCTAAAACAGACATCATGAGCCTTAGGCGCGACGTCCCTCAAAGGTAAGGCAACACTTACCGACGGTCGCATGTTCACGTTGTGGGACTTGACGACATGCCGTCATGGCTAAAGAGGCCCAAAAGTAGCGGCAACAGTACGAGCATGCGNCACTTACCGACGGTCGCATGTTCACGTTGTGGGACTTGACGACATGCCGTCATGGCTAAAGAGGCCCAAAAGTAGCGGCAACAGTACGAGCATGCGGGGATGGGCTCTGCTGGCAGTGAGGGTTCGTGGTGGTTCGGTTTCAACCTGGCGGCGTGCTTCATCAGGGTCTTTGCACGTTCTCGGCAATCACCAACCGAGTCTCACGCTCGGGATCTGGAGCGTGGCGCTCTTCTGGCAAAGCTTGATGGAAAGTCCGGGGTGATCCATAGGAATGACCGACATCCCTTGAAGCGCAGAGGTTTACCAGACGCGAGACACTTCCCAGCACAAATAGTCAAGTATGGGAAGGGTGTGAGCTCAGATCTCAGACCGGAGTGGCGTGCATCAAGTTCGCCTCGTGCGCTCGCATCACGCCAAGCGGGGACCCCGAGCTACAGGTGCCGAAGTGCTCTCCAGACGTTTCCGAGCTGGTACTACGGAGCTGCGAGGCATCCACCATTTCCGTACGACGCATCTTATTCTGTCCACCGCTTACTGTGTTGCGACCTCGACGTCTATAGCTCATCGGCGCCGGTAGACTTTGCCGTGATGCACCTCGCCATGACGCCATGAGTGATCCGATCAACGTCTTCTTCGCTATCTGTCCGTTGATCCGGCACTTGCACCGGTACTTACTGGACGCTCGAGCTGTGCGACACAGCTACTGAAGCGTGGGCTGTAGTATATAGAAATGCAAGGTGACGGGACTTGGTCTGGCAAGTATGTTCTGGTGAGCGACGGGATGCGCCGCTCCAGCGCAAACACAAACCCTGCACTCAGACCGGACGGGAGCATGCCTCGCAGTCTGTCGAGACGAAATGCGACAAGATCTTGCGCGACCGGAAACGCTGTGTGCTCGCCGCCCTTGTAGGAACGATGCCTTCATACCTGGGTGACAAGGTCATAACGAAACGCGCGCAAGCGCCTCAGATCATCATCCGGAAGTAGCGCGCAAAGGCACCATGGAATTCATGCGATATAGAAAGCGAGGGCGAATGAAATGCCCCTTGTGCCGCCCGCCTTGCCAACTCGATACAGTTCCTGCTCATGCTCAACGTCTAGGCCTCGCCAGGGTGGGTTGAGCGAGCATAGGACGGCGGTCGACTGTTGCGGCAGGGTCAGGGTCCGGAAGCATCACCCATACGACACAAGGGCGGTGCATGTATACTCACTAGATGCATACCAGTGTCCTCGGTCCGAGATCCAGCCTGCCTTATTCGGGAGGATGGGAATGAGACTGAGCTTACACGACAGTAGCCCGGGTGACGCACGGTCAAGAGCTAGATGTACCAGATTCACGTTCATCTTCTTGGAGACTTGAAGTTGAAGCGTTGAAGCTTGAAGCTTGAAGCCAAGTCGAGCCTCGGAAGGGTCCGCGCCACGCGATGAGCGTCTGAGATGAGTGTCCTCGCTCGTGTCTTAGATGACTAGGGCACGATTATTGGGTGTTTGGCCAATTTCATCCAAGATTTCCGTATCTTCGACCTGTACTATTAGTCGTGTACAAGTCCTGCTTAGACCAGGAAGATAGCAAGAAGCCGGAAGCTTTAGGGTGTTGACGTGAGATGATCGCCCTTGATCTAGACGCCGGATCTAGACGCCTGATGCCCCGCCCACGTCATGAACACGGAACAGTCGCGTCGCACCTTTGCACCTTTACTATCATCCACGACGAAGAACGGGATGCGACGCAGGCCACGAAAGAGAGCCCCAGGCGCTCTCGATTTGCTACACTCAAGATACCTGTGCGTATCGATTCACTCGTTCACTTTCCAAGTTGCTTACGACGCCCATAGATTCTTGAGCGATGGCTATGTATTTAGTCGGAAGGCACAGTGCGTACTCTTGGTCGTATTCTTCTTGACATCTCTAACTAGGAGTACTCGGATAGCCTGGGTACTCGACTAGCTGCGCTCACGCCCGCTTGTTTGCCCCATCCATTCTAGGATCAAGCCTTCGCATACGCCTTGCCGCACAGTTACAAGAGCCGGAGAACTCACTACAAAAGGTCACTCGAGCCTGCACATCACATCGAACGGCGTAGCAGCAAGCGCCGTCGCTCATCAACTCGCGTCGCGCACGTCCAAACCTTGCCTCCCGCCACCATCCCGACTTTCGACTTCATCGCCCCCCGCCACACCAAACCCAAGGTTATACGCCATATCCTTCGGCGTTCGGTGTCGCGATCATACGCCCCGTTTTAAAACAATCTATACGTTCTTGCGCTCTCGTACTCCCGCGCGTCCTTCAACTTCGCGTCTTCACCGCCGACCGCTCCCGCTCAAACCTACCCTCTATACTCATCGCGTACCTGTTCCAAATGGCGGGCGACCATCAAAACATGTTCAATACTCCTCCTACCCAAGAACCGCTACGCGAAGGAACATCGGAGACTACGCGGCGAACCAGTAACGGATCCGCGCTTTGGCCCGCCTTGTCGCTCACCCGCTACGCAGATCTCGGAGTCCGAGGGCTCCTCTTCAACGAGGTGCTTCACGAAGTGACTCATCCTCACGCCCGCCGTCATTTGCGAGGCAACGTAGCCGGAGCGGCCGATGCTCCTGGCGCGCCCGCGCCCGCGGGCCCTGTCGGAGAGGGCACACAAGGACGGGACGCACAGCAAGAGCATACCGTCGGCGCTGTATCGGCTCAAGGCGCACAACGTCGCGGGATACTTCAACGGCTTCGCGCTGGCGCTCGGCGCATCGCGCAAAAGCTGCACCTTACGCGCGGAACGGGGGGCCAGTAGGGAGGGGAGGAGACGGACGGAGTGGGAGGAGACGGAGAAGGAGAAGAAGTGGGACTTGGAGTTGGAGACGGTAACGGTGACGGAGAAGGAAAGGGGGGAGGGGGACGAGAACGAGAACGAGATATCTCTAGAGGTGCTTGTGGAAAGGAGAAAGTGAATGTTCTGCGTCTGTGCGTTTCGTATCTTGCTTTGTGACTGCGTCTGCTCTGTTTGCCAACTGTTATTCGGCTCATATTTGCTTACGTCTCTTGTTATCTTGCATCAACCAAAATTTTTTCAGCTATCTCATACCGCCGTAGTGTTAGCCTGATCCTCATTTCTGTACATACTAAATACCCAAGGCTCTCTGTCAATATACGCACTCGACACGTACCTGTACNTCTGTACATACTAAATACCCAAGGCTCTCTGTCAATATACGCACTCGACACGTACCTGTACAGCACTCCCCACCTTCACTAAATACCTTCCCTCGTGTACCACGCACATCCTAATCATGTACCCTACATAGTCTACTATACTGATCAATATATTGATTTTCCCCGGAATCTCATGCATGCGGCCATCTTCCGGTGAGCGCGTCGAGGCGCCTGTAGCTCGTAACTCGCGTGACCGCGCCGACAGACGCAATGCGATGCGGTACAGCTCCTGACTGCCGGTATCCTTCTTGTCATCACCGTATTGGAATTGGAGTGGGAAGGTCCACGATGATCCGACTACAACCTGTTCGACGAGATGTACTTGCAATAAGGGCCGCTCGATCTAGGGTTCCGAAGAAGGAGAGTCCTGGCTGCGCACGCACTGCACGCATTCTCTTGCGACGTGACACACTAACCGGAGAGTCGTGGTACATCGGCGGCGGCTCTGACTGGGCCAATATACGAGAAGCATTGACGGGCGCAGACGCTTGCAAGAGGGCTTCCGGAAAGACCCCTGTTCTCTCCCCCCGAAATATGGAAACTTGATTGGCCGTGACAACACTTGAAGTACGCCGATAGGCAGTCAAAACCGCCCACGGCAGTCGCGAATAGATTCGCGGACTTGATGAGAACAATATGCCATGGTGAACTAGCTCGGTATGTATGCAGGCGATATGGGAAGCTAGCACGTAGCATATGGAAGATATGGCAGTTGCTAAAGTACCCTAACAAGCGAGTATGGACTCTCAATTAACGAGGGAAGGATATGCGTAGCCATGATGGCGGGTGTAGGTCGCGTCGCAGATGAGGAACATGATCATGCGTGAATGCGGGTTGAAGACGGCGGTAGCAAAGTATACGTCGGAGGGTCGATGGTATGAAGCTCCTGAAGCGTACTCCATGCGTAGCAGGTGTACAAGTGGCGATGGCCGGTGTTCTGAATGGCACTCAGGAGCGTGCAGTGGACCTCGAACTAGCCGGCCATCTCAATCTCCACGCTCCAGCAGGGAGTTGAATTTTGCGACGGAAGTCCTGAATCTCTCGGTGTAGGAGACCGTGAAAAACGGGGTGAAGTAGGAGTTTGAAAGAGCGCAAGCACGGCAATTCGATGGTCTTGTGGGTTTCGATCGAGGGCAAGGGCATCACAAATATATAGTCGATGGTGATTGTTTCCAGTGAGGAGCATTCGTAAAGGATGTCAAGTAACATCCACTGGGTTGTGACATGTTTAGAGATAACCAGTGTAGTGAGCGCAGGTGCGACAAATGGGATCGGACGACCGCCCTGCAAGCGCAGGTTCTCGAGCTTTGGCGCGTATATGCGCTCGGAGGACAAGCCTGTTTGCTGGACCTCGGACATCCTTTTCGACATGGCTTCGCGCTCAGGAGTGTCGTTGTCGTCGATGATGAGTTGGCGGAGCTGCGGTAGGTGACGCGCCTGTACCACGAGCTGAGTCCACGATCGCGAGATTCTCCGCACGGATAATGTTTCGATGAGGGCGAAATCTCGAAGAATGTTATCCGCAAGTATATCTTCGTCCTTCTTAGTCAGACCCTTGGGCACGGTGACTTTCAGCGGTACTTTGCGTGCACGCGCACGCGCAGCGACCAGGGCCTCTCGAGATGCAAAACTTCCGTATACGCGCGCCCATAGCGTACTATGACTATGACCCACCATCCGCCATAAGCGACAGACGTGTGTCAAGCGCAGCCAGCCCAGACTGCGCGTTGTTGGCTCGTCGAGCTCCGCAACGAGCGAAAAGAGTGTGTATAGAGTATCTTGAGTAAGGTCCGATACGCATGCCCTGCATATGGCTCAGTATAATGAGTGTCTATGGATGAGAAAGCATCGGCGTACATGAGGGTTCGATATACGATCTTGACGTCGATGGTGGTCGAAGGTACTTGAGACGTGAGCGCGACATTCATATTGCCAGCTGGAGTGATCCGTCGGACAACCGTCGGATGCTCCGAAGCATTACTGCGAAAGCGTTTGGTTCTTTATACTTTGTACTACTGACTGAAGTGCATTGCGCTGCTGTACCATAACTATTCATTGAGAGTCGTCGCTTGTAATATTCTTCATAATGATCATTTATATCAGGTTGAATATACGCTGTGATACTTGCAATGCCCTCGAAGGAGAATGCTACTCCGAGTCATGCGCTATGAGGCTTGACGCCAGTCGAAGCCCTAGAGGTCCCGCGAGAGTGCCTGCAGTAGGGAGGCTGTTCGGAAAAGGTCCGAGACTAGGTATGCGCCGCGACAGTCGTGATGGTCGCGCGTTCCGAGTCTGACTTGCCTCTGACGCTCACTTCTCTTTCTGCAAATGAGCTCAACAGGCACTATCTCTGTATCCCAGACGGATGTCTGCCGTCTCTTCTTAAAGCATAAACGCAAGGAGGATCCTGTAATGGCGTATCTACGAGACGAGCTTCGCCCGTGTGTCGAATGCCTGGCGTTCGATAATGCACCCGAGGATTATCACAGGAGGGTCCGGAGGAGACGCGGAAGGAGATCTCAGGAAACAGGTTGTCTCTTCTTCAGTAAGTTGGGCAGTACATATCTTCGCATCCTGCTGACGCGATCCTGAAGAGGTGGTGAATAAATGTATAGTCGAACAGCGCAAGTTCATCATTTCCGCGGGTCCAGACTACGTTTTAATGGAAATCAACCCGTACGAGCATAGCGGCCACGTCGTACCGATGTTTGACTCTCCTCCTCCGTCGTTGACGCACGAAATGGTCATGGAATGTTTGGTACGTCGTAAAGACGGCCCGCTCATCAGCCAACTCATTGTCGCAGATTGCTATCGCCTACATATTGATACCGCTACTTAGGGCACACCAATCCTTGCGCGGTCTATGCAACTCCATCATCTGGAGAACACCGGCTCTACTTGGCGAGCGTATGATCTGCGGTGCGCTCTCCTGCATAGCGTGTCGATCCCGTCATTTCGCTGATGCGGAGACTGACAGACCGCTGTCGGATGTCATGCCTTTGCGCCGTGCGACTCTGTAGACGGTGTGGGATAGAGGTATGCTTATCCTGTGTGATTCAAAATCTGGTACGTATGTCGCCAGCTCTCGTTTTCCCTGAGCAGTCGCTGATCATTCCGTAGGTTGATGTATTTTGCGTTGCTCGCCGGACGCCAGGCGACGGACATGACTTCGCTCTAATAGAGTGCTTTCAACCGGATGAGTTGGAGGACGCCCTTGAGGAACTTGAGAAGTTAGCTTTACCGTGCGTATTTTCTTCCCGGCTGCGATTGACGCTGTCACTCATGAAATCTAAAGCAAGAACCCACCATGTCCGTCCGACTCAGAGGTCATTGATGTGAGGCTCTCAGACGGTGCTGGGCTGCCATCGTATTCGACATTGTATAATGCACTCGCTGTCGGGGTTCCTGTTGTTGTGTCTGGCATTAGCCCCGGAGACAGTAATTTGACGCCCGAGTACTTCATACGCCGGCACGGGAAAGAAAAAGTTACAGTTGTCAATACTAAGACCGGCGGACAGAGAACCATTGCGCTCGCAGACTTCATGGGTAGCTTTGCAGATGTACGTGCAACACCTGCACCAGAGAAGCTCAAGGTACTTCCAGTCCGCTCCTCGAGTAAGGTCCGTGCTGAGGATTTAGGACTGGCCTCCAACGGAGGACTTCAGAAAAGCGTTCCCAGAGATGTTCAGGTTGTTCGAAGAGGTCCTGGTGGGACCTAACATAACATCTAAATCTGGGGCATTGAATTTGGAAGCCAGTATGCCACTTGGTTCGTGCCCGCCTGATACAGGTATGAGCTCATGTCCCGTACGCATTGCTGTATGTTGATCATCCTCAGGACCAAAGGCGTATATCGCCCATACTGCCGCCGGAGGTACTACCACACGGCTTCATTGCGACATGTGCGATGCCGTCAACTTCATGCCTTACTCGCGTCGCAGAAAGCATGATGCAGAAGAAGGTGCTTTATGGACGATGATCGACCGTGACCATATGGCCAGAACCGAGATCCTTCTGAGAGATTGGAAGAAAGGCGAATTTGACGGCCACCCTATACATTCGCAGCAGATATTCATCACCCCAGACGACGTGGAGCGGTTGCGAGATGCAAAGATTCATGTCTGGACCTTTGTTCAGAGACCGGGACAGGCGGTCTTTATCCCGGCGGGAGTCGGACATCAAGTGGGTTCAAACATTTGAATCTGGGTTGCCAACGAATTGATTCACTAATATCAGGTAACGAACCTGTCGTCTTGCATCAAGATTGCGGTTGACTTTGTCAATCCTGCGAACGTGATGCATTCGAATAAGATTGGCCAAGAGCTCCGCCAACATCGGCTTGAGTCACACGATTCCGAGTCCGAGGATGTTTTACAATTGGCATCCATGGCTTGGTGGTTCTACGTTCGCTCCAAGACCGACGACTTTAAACGTCTTCGCTCCGATCCCTACTCAGACCCCTGGATTTCACCTTATTCAGCGGCTCCTCGTTATCTGCAAGTCCGCGTCAACCTCCAAGCAGGTACGTATCATGTCTAGACACCTTCTGCCATTGTTCAAATCCGTTTCTCAGGCGCTGTCCATGACGCCCAGAAGTCGCCTGCCTCTGAAGAGCGCGAGGCAGTTCCGGAGATGCGCACCCGTTCCTCAGGCGCCGTCCATGACGCCCAGAAGTCGCCTGCCTCTGAAGAGCGCGAGGCAGTTTCGGAGATGCCCGATCCCGAGGCAATGGACGACTTGATGCCAGATGCCACCCCTATGTCGCTCGGTAAGCATCAGTTCCAGTGAAAACGATAGCGGCTGATTCGTGTGCAGACTCGCCTCCACCGTTGGCGTCGTCTTCGGTGCCGAGCACTGAGTCTGCTCCCGCAGCAATTCCGTCCAAGCGATCATGTGATAGTATGCCCGCGTATCACCGGCATAGACGAGCAAAGAAAGCTCGTGTGGCTGCACTGTCTCAGAATCCGGAGAGGACACTACAGTGTCCTATAGACGCTCCTGGAAAGTGCAAACGTCAGGCTTCCTTGTTCAAGCGGCAAGAACTCCTCGACCACCTGTACGTTTTTTGTAACAAGCATGCGCCGCTCGTACTAGCATATTGATTTGGATGTAGGGAGCAGACTCATCGCGAATATGTCGCTTTCAGGGATCCAAGTAAGAATATGACCAAACGGCAGATGGGCGCAAAGCGCCTGGAAATCCTGGGATTCGCAGGCGATGATCAAGCCTTTCTCGCCTACCTGAAGGACCTCGTGCTTAGTAAAGAGCCATCGGTCTCGCCTTAGAGGTACTGCACTCCATTCAAATGCTGGTATTCTCTACCTATCGAAACCGCATATAACGGTGCCAATACCGCTGAGAAAGCCCTTTGCATTCCGCTCTCGCCCCTCGTAGCACGTTCCGGACGAGTGGGCTTCGAGCGTGACTAAGGGGATAAACCGCCGCCCCAAATGATGCAAATCAAATATCATCAACAGTCCAGTGTAAAGCATGTAGGGCATTCCCACGGACAGCAGAAGCCGGGATGTATATGTGGCTAGCACGCGGAGTCTAACCTCTAGAGGCCGCATCAGTCGATGATGATGTAGGTTCCAAATCGATACGCACGTTCTGCGCCGAACGCAATGCGTTGAAGACGTTCGCAAGATGACAGGGAGGTATCCTCGGCTGCAGTGCGTCGCACATCAACGCGACCCACTTCAGGTTGGTCGTCTTCAACATGAAAGGACCGTGACAAACGGCAGCGCTAGAAGGGTCGCTGGCTGTTGATGCGGGCCTTGGGAACCTGAGCATCATGCAGCGTGGTGATGCGTGCAATCGGCGTATCTTGTAGGGCCAGCCAAGCTCGCAGCGCACGCCTCGAGCGAAGTCGAGATCTGCGTCGTTTGCCGTCTTCACGATCCTAGCGACGAGTGGCGTGGCGTTGTGGAGAAATAGACGCTCTGTGAAGGTATCAGTTCCGCATGCTTGGACCACGAGGCAAGCGGAACACATACATAGTTCACTGATGTTGTCATAGTTGTGGTGCTTGAACGTCTGCGTTGTGAGCACCGACGCACGCTCGTTAGGACTCAACGGCGGGCCGGTGTGTCGTTACCAAAGAGCGCGGCGTTTCTGAGAAGCACCGGCAGTAGGAGTTGAATCACCTGGCGACGCGTGAGATGAGTGTGAGCACATCAGGAAAAGCCACTGGTATTCACAAGCATATAGGTCAAGGCAGCGGAACGAGCATATGATACGCCTTCATATGCGACGAAGGATACAGCCCGGGGCCGCGCATCTCCAGCATAGCACCTACAATGATTAACTAGTCAGCACTTCCATCACTCAGTGAGCAAGCGTACCGAGAGTTGGACCAGCGAGCCGCCATACGACCCATATACGAGCGGTGACGGATCCTCGATTTGTGGGGGTGGATCTGGGCGGCGTGACGCGCCTCCTGTAGATCTCATGGTGAGCGATTGAGCATGAGAGTATACTCCATGCGCAAAGTTCGGCGTACCGTATAGTAAGCGGCATGGCTACTATCAAAAGCACCACGCGCTGTAGCAGAGTAGTTTGGGTCGTCATTGGAGACGAAGGCGGTGGACGCAAGCTCGCTCATCGGAATGATTTGTATTCGCGGGGGGACAGAATGGCACTACTGGGGATTGCGTCGACCAGTACGATGACCCGTATCTCTGTAATCCGCGTTCCTAACATAGATATCAACTTAGATGATGACGACGAGATGCTAGAGTACGCACCGAATGATCCAAACGCTATTCCCACCGATGAGTCTGTGGTACCATTTTGGAGCGAGGGCTTCTGGCGACGAGTGCTACGAGCGCTTTAGCCGTTGGTAAATGTTGAGCTGCTACAATGGGCACGTACGTGAACGCGTGAACGTCCACGCGAGAGCCTCGAGTATGATGACCGTGAGGATCAAGCCTGATCAAGCGCGTCAACCACCTCCGACGCCCGTCACGAGGCGGCGGCCACCAACAGTGTCACTACTCGATATAGACAGGCATGAACACCCATTATCTCAAGTACCCCATCTCTGAGCTCCTATCGCGTTTACGCAACGTTCTTGGGTATCAGAATACTGCGTCGTCAGGGGAGAACTACTCGGAGGAAGAGGCCGGTCCTGGCGCGTTGTTTACAATGGTAGCCAGTGCAGAAATGATCTGATG